AGGGCGGGAGAGAGAGAGATAGAAAGAAGAGGAGGGACACATGAAGGAAGAAAGGGTTTGTTCTTGTTTGAAGTATGACCAGAGGACCAGCAAATCACATCAATTTTGGATTTTCAAAAGGTTTTCCACTCGATACAGCATCACAAGGCGACTGCAACTCACCTGCATCATACTCGATATAGACTGCGCCATTTGCGCCACAATCTCCACCGCCATCTCATCGGGTCTGTCCGCGTCCCCCTTGCACCAATCACAACCACCCGCCTGTGCCATGACCTCCTCTCGTGTGTGCTTGTAGCACTTGCCCTCAAAACCTGGCATATCCTGCCAGTGCCAGCAGCAGCCATAGTGAGAGAGAGAGAGAGAGAGAGAGAGAGAGAGAGAGAGAGAGAGAGAGAGAGAGAGAGAGAGGTTTGGTGTAGTGTTGGTAAAAGCGAGAGTGATTATTGAGTCGACTCAAAAGAAACATCCTCTTGAGTGTGCTTGTAGTAGCACTTGCCCGCAAAACCCGGCATATCCTGCCAAGGATCAAGATTCATGATGGGAGTAGCAGCGAACTTGTGAGAAAACGCTTAGCAAAAGGATCAAAACTGTGAAACTTGTTCCTAGAAATTAAAAGAAAGATCTCAAAGCCTCCAAACCTCGAACTTGTGCATATCCTGCCAGTGCCAGCAGCAGCCAGGGCGTGTGAGAGTGACAGTGAGAGTGTCGGTGAGAGCTGAAGGAGAGGAAAGCTGAGTGAAGAGCGGGAAAGCTGAAACAAGGGGGAAGAGACTCACTGAAGGAGAGAAAAGGTCGCAGACGTGGCGATCCCACACATGATTGAAGATCTTCTCAGCCGTCCGATTCGACATCCCCGTTGTGAATCCAACGGGCACCCTTACATTTGGCCGCTTGCCTGGACGGGCAGCCTCCAAAAACTCCATCGCCTGCCCGAAGGTGGTGATCTGGCCGCAGCTGCATAACGAGGTGACTTCAAGGCACATTTCTTTGCAGGGCAGCCCGAGAGAAAAAGCTGCGAGCATGCGAGGGAGGGCGGCTTCTATGAGCTCGTCAGGCTTCTCCTGGCCAGTTGTTATCTGGCGCAGCTCCGGCTGGTGGCGGGGTGATAAGTGGAGGGAAGGAAAAGATAAGAGCACTTAAGCATCACGATGATAGTAAACACCTGCTCTGTCCGGCTTCTCCTTGCCCATCGTGATCTGGCACAGCTCTGGCCGGCAGCGGTGGGATGAGAACGGGTGCGCGATGAAGGGATTATAAGGGGGAACGGAGTTCTCAGCCACCTGGCCTTGTGAGGCTTCTCCTGGCCTGCTACTATCTAGCGCAACTCTGGCTGGTGTGAGGTGAATGGACGTTGGGAGGAGGGGAGAAACGGAGTGAGCATTCATAGACGAAAATCCCTCGCATCAAGCCAGGGATCTTTGTGAGGGGGGCAAGCACCCAGACTCACCAGCACTTCGTCCACTATCTTCTCAAAGGTGCCACAAGTGGGCACGGTCTGGCCACACCAGAAGCGGTGCAGCGCCTGCAGGCACGGCTCACAGGGCGGGGAGTACCCCTCCTGCTGCAGCCTTGCTCGCACCACCACGTCCGGGTCCAGAGCCTGCCCCTCCCGCTCCTCTAGAGTGTACGCGCAGTCAACCGTAGGGTTGACCAGGTCAACGGCGCACTGCTGCATCATCCCCACACTCACACTCCCCTCCTCCTTCTCCTCTTTCTCCTCGCCTCTTGCCCCTCCTGCTCCCGTCTTCGGTGCTCCATTGCCCCGGCCAATGCCTGCTACTGGTCGGCATGCCGCCCGTCCCCCGAACAGGTTGCACGGCCACATCTTGGCTGCTACCAGCGCCGCCCCCATGCCGCCCAGCAGCACCTTCTGGGAATCTTCCGGCAGGTCTGCTGCCTCGTGCACGTCGTTCAATAGGGTTACCAGCGCGTCAGCCTGCTGCAGCGTCAATGGGGGTGCTGCTTGTTGTTGCGGCTTGGCTTGCTGATTGGTGTTTGGTTGTTCTTGTGCCTGTGCTTGTTGATTTCCCGCCTCTGAGTCTTTTGCTGCCTTCCCCGCCGTTTCCCCGTTTCCTTCCTTTTCAGGCACTCCTTTATCCCCCTCTCCCTCTTTCTCCTCCTCCCCTTCATTCTCCCCCTCTCCTTTTTGACCCTCTGCTTCCGTCCCCCCTTCTCCTTCCTTCTCCCCCTCTCCCTCCCCCTCCCTCTCTCCTTCCTTCCCTCCCTCTCCTTCCTTCTCCCCTTCTCCTTCCTCCCCCACTTCTCCTTCCTTCTCCCCCTCTCCTTCCTTCTCCTCCTCTCCTTCCTTCTCCCTCTCTCCTTCCTTCTCCTCCTCTCCTTCCTTCTCCCCCTCTCCTTCCTTCTCCTCCTCTCCTTCCTTCTCCCCCTCTCCTTCCTTCTCCTCCACTCCTTCCTTCTCGCTTTCTCCCTCCTTCACCCCCTCTCCTTCGTTCTCTCCTTCTCCCCCCCTTTTCCCCTCTCCAGCACCCTTCTCCTCTCCCTTCTTAGGCAATGGCAGTGTGCCTAGCTGCTGCGGTGCTACTTGCGGTGCCTTAGCTGGCTGCTGCGCTTCTGCTTCTGCTAATCCCTGCGCTTCACCTGCTTCCGCATTCATAGCAGAAGAAGATTGACGCTCACCCTCCGCTTGCGCCTGGGTTAAAGGCACCAGCGGTTGGTGCGTTGCTGCCGAACCTGCCGAACCTGTTGAACCTGCTGAACCTGCCGAACCTGTTGAACCTGCCGAACCTGCTGAGCCTGTTGAACCTGTTGAACCTGCCGAGCCTGTCGATGCTGCAGTTGGCTGTTGCTTTGAAGAAGGAGCCTCTGCTTGTTTCTGAGCAAGAGGGGAAGGAGGTGCAGCAGGAGGAGGGAGAGGAGGAAGTGCCGGTGGGTTGACAGTGCTGCTGCTGGTGATGCTACTGCTGCTACTGCTGCTACTGCTGCTAGTGCTGTCGGTGCTGCTGGTGCTGCTGCTGCTGCTACCTCCACTGTTGCTGCTGCTACCACGGCTGCTGCTCCGACTGTGCCGAATGCTGCTGCTGCTGCTGTGCTTACCCCATTGACGTCCTGCAAGTGAACAGGCAGGGTGGGGAGGGTCGGGAAGAGGGGGGGCGCAGAGGCGACCCAGGGGGGGCCAACAAGGAGAGGGGGGATCAAGGGGGAACAAGCGGAGACCAAGGGGGGTGATCAAGGAAGCGGGAGACAGGGCGAGCGGAAGCAATGGACGAGGGGAAGGGGGGAGCTTTAGCGTTGAGAGCACCCTAAGGGGTGGGATGGGAGGGTGGGCGGGAGGAGGCGAGGATGTGAGAGATTGGAGGCGTAAGGGTTGAACTAGGGGAATAGGAAAGGCGAGGGAGGTGGGGAGGAAGGAATGCGAGCAGGGCAGGAGGTGAAGCGAAAGGAGAAAAGGAAAGGGGAAAGTTGCAGAACAGAGGAGACGGAAGTGGGAAGAGAAACCGGAGTGATAGGGCAAATAGGGCGAGGGAGATAGGACGATAGCGCCAGGGCAACGGGCGAGGGCGCGAGGGAAATGGGGAGAGATTGCGAGGGCACTGACCAGAACCGCGGTGGCCGGCCGTGCGAGCGGCAGATGCGGCGAGGACGAGGCAGAGGAGGGCGAGCAGCCGCGTGTGAGCCGCCACAAGCCGACCTGCACGCACGCCTTGCCGCGGTCCCATGGCGGCCGCACCGACGGACGGACCGGCGGATGGACGGATGGACGGACGGACGGACGGTCGGACGGTCGGTCGGACGGACGGACGGACGGACAGAGACGAGTAGGAGGATTCTACAAGTGAAAGGACGGCTAAGCGGATAGACGACGGTAATACGGACGGACGAACGGACACGTGAACGAACGCGCCGAACGTTCAAATGAGTCTCAGAAACAGCTACAGGTTGTGCAGCCGACGTGATCTTACGGCGTGTGGTATAAACGAGCTCTCCGTGACACCTACAAGCACTTGCTCACTTCCACACGAAGCAGGACCCCGTGGCGGAAATGAGGAGACGCCTCGCACCAACTTGACATGGTGAGCAGTAGTTTATTCCACTGGCTTCGTTGACCGAACGGTATCTTTATCTTATTGCCTTACCAGTTTGTAAGATTTGACAAGAGTGCAGGTTAGGTGAATAGGTTTCTATCTACTAATTGAAACTGAAGTGCTTGACTTGCGAAGGTGATTTGGTCCTCAAGAATGACATGACGCGTCCTCGTTTCAACATGCCCCGTCATACTTAACACTTTATGGAAAGTTTTGTGTGTTCTTTGGTTCACGACATTTACCGAGTGCTTTAGAATAAGTAACAATGTTACTCGACACTTCAACTAAAGTCTTCGCTTTCCCGCCTTGTTGCGTGCTCGGCTGCTGGAAGGTATTGGTTCATGGGAAGCGTGTTACACGAGGTTTGCCATTCGTGCACGCAAATCCCGTCGCTTCGTTTCGCTCACTACCAATCAAAGCTTCATTATCAACAGCACCATCACACAGCACTCCTGTACCTCCCTGACTCAACTCCCCCGTGTGCTTCAGGCCAAGATCTGTTCTCGAGGTTGTTCCTCCAAGGCTGATCCAAGGTGCTGCTTCTGGATCGGGACTGGTGCCGCGGGCAGTGCGTGGAGCGGGTGTGTTTGCGTGCCAGCTGATCTAGGGTGTGAACATTACCGTCGTCAGACGCTCTTATTTTCCGAATGGCGGACCCTACGTGAGCTCCTCGAGTTTCGTGACTGGTTTTTAGGTGCGCTTATCCAGGTAATTCACGGAGTTATCCAGGTTAGAAGTGGAGCTAATTTGCAACATCGCCACACCGCGCTACTTCTCCTCTTCACCTATCGCTCATGGATCTCTTTAAATTCCCCACGCCTTGCAGACAAGAAATAACAGATTTGCCTTGATTACACCATACTAAATTCTAACTTCCAGCTTCCAGTCACCTCAAACCCTAATCTCCAACATCCAGTCACTTCAAACCCTAATCCTTCACGCTAGCATCTAGCCATGGCGAACCCGTTCGCCCCGGCGGGGGGCTCTCCGTTTGGCGCGGCGCAGCCGGCGTCCCCTTTCGGCGCCACGTCCGCCTTCGGCGCGTCCGCAACTCCGGCCAGTCCGTTCGGCCAGGCGGGCACATCACTCTTCGGCGGGGGGGCGGCGACAGGAAGCGTGTTCGGCGCGACTTCTGCGCCCGCCTTCGGCGCGACGTCCGCGCCTGCTTTCGGCGCAGCGGCGTCGACTCCCGCGTTTGGGTCCACGGCTTCACCTTTTGGCGGCGGTAAGCGGTGTTGGGCTGCATTAAACGGTGCTCGGCGGCGGTAAGCGGTGTTTGCGAACTAAAAAACGCGACCCGCGTGTGGTCTGTTAAAAACGCGACCCGCGTGCGTACATGGGTCCCAAGCGTGTTTTGAGTCAACTTAAAAACACGTTTGTTCGGCGTACGTGGGTCTCAAAGCGCACTAGAAACAGCAACGGTTGCTAAATTCCTTCTGCGCTGCCGCACTGCGTTTCGTATCCAACCTGTTGGCTCTCTTATCTTGAATCCATAATCTCCCCATTCACTGCCTTTTCCACTGCTGGCGTCACCTTCTCCTCACTCCGTCGCTTTTTCTTCCTTTCTCCCACGACACCCCACACCAACAGGCTCGTCGCTGTTCGGGCAGCAGCAGAAGCCAGCAGCGTTCGGCACGTTTGGGCAAACCCAGGCCAGTCCCTTCGGAGCGCCCGCGTTCGGCCAGCAGTCGCAGCCGGCGTTCGGAGCAGGCGGGGCGTTCGGCTCTACCGCCACCACGCCTACCTTCGGCGCCGCCACTGGCGCCGCGCCCGCGTTCGGCGCCGCCGCTCCCGCCTTCGGCGCGTCCGCGCCCGCGTTCGGCGCGACGGCGACGACGCCCGCGTTCGGCGCGGCGAGCGCGCCGGCGTTCGGGGCGACGGGGGGGCTGTTCGGGTCGACTGGCACGTCCGCTTTCGGGGCTGCGTCCGCGCCTGCTTTCGGCAGCCTCTCTTCGCCCAGCTTCGGAGGTACGCGTGCTGCCCTCTGCTGCCATGCCCTTCCGCTCCCACTCCCCATTATCCACCCCCCCTCCTCCGAACAACCCCCCCCCCACTCTCCTCTTCCCCCTCCGCGCCTTCTTTCGGCAGTCTCGCGTCGCGCAGCTTCGGAGGTACGAGTGCTGCCCTCCTGCCCCTGCTGCCATGCCCTTGCCAATCCTCTCGCTGCCGTGCCCTTGCCAATCCTTTCTCCCCTCAGCTTCCCTTACCCTCCGTGTCCTCGTCTCTGTTCATGCGGTCTCGTCTGCACGCCTTCACCTTTTCGTTTTCCCTGCTCCGCCCCTACCCTTCATTCTCATTCTCCTCCCATTCCCTCCCACCCACTCCCTTTTTCCCCCTCCCCCCTCTTCCCCCCCGTTTCGCAGCATCAGCGCCTGCGTTCGGAGCAACCACATTCGGAGCCACACCCTTCGGAGCAGCAGCAGCAGGAGGCACAGGCAGCAGAAACCCCGCCTACACGCCCACCAACGACACAGAAACCGGCACGGCAGGCCAGCTCGGCAAGTTCATCTCCATATCAGCCATGCCAGCCTATAAAAACAAGAGCCCGGAGGAGCTCCGGTGGGAGGATTACCAGAGGGGGGACAAGGGCGGGCCAGCACCAGCACAGGCAGGCGGAGGCCTCTTCGGCCAGCCAGCAGCAGCGGCTTCCCCATTTGGTGCAGCTGCTGCTTCTCCTGGGTTTGGTTCCACAGCTGCAAACCCGTTCGGCCAGGCGTCCACGCCAAGCCTGTTCGGCTCGGCAGCTCCTGCGTTTGGTGCAGCCGCGCCTGGCGCCACGCCCGCGTTCGGCGCGTCAACTTCCCCTTCGCTCTTCGGCTCGTCCACTCCAGCCTTCGGCGCTGCGTCCTCCCCGGCATTCGGAGCCACGGGAGGGTCGCTGTTCGGCGCTGCTGGCGCCACTGCGAGCAGCCCGTTCGGAGCAGCAGCATCAACCCCGTCGCTCTTCGGATCACCTGCTGCCGCCACCGCCTCCCCCTTTGGCGCGTCCACCGGCACGTCTCTCTTCGGAGCGACCTCACCTTTGGGGCAAGCAGGGGCGGCGGGACAGCCGGGGGCGTCACTCTTTGGCGCCTCTTCCCCTGCCTTTGGGACCCCAGGCGCGTTTGGGACCCCCGGCGCTGCTGCTGCTACTCCGGCGTTTGGTGCCACGCCGTCACTGTTTGGGACCGGAGCAGCAACGGGAGGGGGGCTGTTTGGGAGCTCCACGCCTGCTGCTGGCTCCACTGGGCTTGGGTTTGGGTTTGGCTCAGCCGGAGCTGCTGGTTCAGCGCCAGGGTTTGGTGCGGCAGGAGGGTCGCTGTTTGGAGGGGCGGCAGGAGCGGGCGGCACGACTGGAGCGGGGTTGTTTGGCGCATCCACTGGATCTGCGTTTGGGTTTGGAGGAGCGTTTCAGACCAAGCCGGCTGGACTTACTCAGTCTTCGGTACGTGCCTCTCATAGTGTCTAATCTGCTTTCTTCAAATTTCTCCCTCTCATGCTCGCACGTGCATGCTCGCACGTGCATGCTCGCACGTGCATGCTCGCACGTGCATGCTCGCACGTGCATGCTCGCACGTGCATGCTCGCTCGTGCATGCTCGCTCGTGCATGCTCGCTCGTGCATGCTCGCTCGTGCATGCTCGCTCGTGCATGCTCGCACGTGCATGCTCGCTCGTGCATGCTCGCTCGTGCATGCTCGCACGTGCATGCTCGCACGTGCATGCTCGCTCGTGCATGCTCGCTCGTGCATGCTCGCTCGTGCATGCTCGCTCGTGCATGCTCGCTCGTGCATGCTCGCTCGTGCATGCTCGCTCGTGCATGCTCGCTCGTGCATGCTCGCTCGTGCATGCTCGCTCGTGCATGCTCGCACGTGCATGCTCGCTCGTGCATGCTCGCTCGTGCATGCTCGCACGTGCATGCTCGCACGTGCATGCTCGCTCGTGCATGCTCGCTCGTGCATGCTCGCTCGTGCATGCTCGCTCGTGCATGCTCGCTCGTGCATGCTCGCTCGTGCATGCTCGCTCGTGCATGCCTCGCTCGTGCAATGCTCGCTCGTGCATGCTCGCCATCGTGGCATGCTCGCTCGTGCATGCTCGCTCGTGCATGCTCGCTCGTGCATGCTCGCTCGTGCATGCTCGCTCGTGCATGCTCGCTCGTGCATGCTCGCTCGTGCATGCTCGCTCGTGCATGCTCGCTCGTGCATGCTCGCTCGTGCATGCTCGCTCGTGCATGCTCGCTCGTGCATGCTCGCTCGTGCATGCTCGCTCGTGCATGCTCGCTCGTGCATGCTCGCTCGTGCATGCTCGCTCGTGCATGCTCGCTCGTGCATGCTCGCTCGTGCATGCTCGCTCGTGCATGCTCGCTCGTGCATGCCTCGCTCGTGCATGCTCGCTCGTGCATGCTCGCTCGTGCATGCTCGCTCGTGCATGCTCGCTCGTGCATGCTCGCTCGTGCATGCTCGCTCGTGCATGCTCGCTCGTGCATGCTCGCTCGTGCATGCTCGCTCGTGCATGCTCGCTCGTGCATGCTCGCTCGTGCATGCTCGCTCGTGCATGCCTCGCCTCGTGCATGCTCGCTCGTGCATGCTCGCTCGTGCATGCTCGCTCGTGCATGCTCGCTCGTGCATGCTCGCTCGTGCATGCTCGCTCGTGCATGCTCGCTCGTGCATGCTCGCTCGTGCATGCTCGCTCGTGCATGCTCGCTCGTGCATGCTCGCATCGTGCATGCTCGCTCGTGCATGCTCGCTCGTGCATGCTTGCTCGTGCATGCTTGCTCGTGCATGCTTGCTCGTGCATGCTTGCTCGTGCATGCTTGCTCGTGCATGCTTGCTCGTGCATGCTTGCTCGTGCATGCTTGCTCGTGCATGCTTGCTCGTGCATGCTTGCTCGTGCATGCTTGCTCGTGCATGCTTGCTCGTGCATGCTTGCTCGTGCATGCTTGCTCGTGCATGCTTGCTCGTGCATGCTTGCTCGTGCATGCTTGCTCGTGCATGCTTGCTCGTGCATGCTTGCTCGTGCATGCTTGCTCGTGCATGCTTGCTCGTGCATGCTTGCTCGTGCATGCTTGCTCGTGCATGCTTGCTCGTGCATGCTTGCTCGTGCATGCTTGCTCGTGCATGCTTGCTCGTGCATGCTTGCTCGTGCATGCTTGCTCGTGCATGCTTGCTCGTGCATGCTTGCTCGTGCATGCTTGCTCGTGCATGCTTGCTCGTGCATGCTTGCTCGTGCATGCTTGCTCGTGCATGCTTGCTCGTGCATGCTTGCTCGTGCATGCTTGCTCGTGCATGCTTGCTCGTGCATGCTTGCTCGTGCATGCTTGCTCGTGCATGCTTGCTCGTGCATGCTTGCTCGTGCATGCTTGCTCGTGCATGCTTGCTCGTGCATGCTTGCTCGTGCATGCTTGCTCGTGCATGCTTGCTCGTGCTGCTTGCTCGTGCATGCTTGCTCGTGCATGCTTGCTCGTGCATGCTTGCTCGTGCATGCTTGCTCGTGCATGCTTGCTCGTGCATGCTTGCTCGTGCATGCTTGCGCGTGCATGCTTGCTCGTGCATGCTTGCTCGTGCATGCTTGCTCGTGCATGCTTGCTCGTGCATGCTTGCTCGTGCATGCTTGCTCGTGCATGCTTGCTCGTGCATGCTTGCTCGTGCATGCTTGCTCGTGCATGCTTGCTCGTGCCTGCTTGCTCGTGCATGCTTGCTCGTGCATGCTGCTCGTGCATGCTTGCTCGTGCATGCTGCTCGTGCATGCTTGCTCGTGCATGCTTGCTCGTGCATGCTTGGCTCGTGCATGCTTGCTCGTGCATGCTTGCTCGTGCATGCTTGCTCGTGCATGCTTGCTCGTGCATGCTTGCTCGTGCATGCTTGCTCGTGCTCGTGCATGCTTGCTCGTGCATGCTTGCTCGTGCATGCTTGCTCGTGCATGCTTGCTCGTGCATGCTTGCTCGTGCATGCTTGCTCGTGCATGCTTGCTCGTGCATGCTTGCTCGTGCATGCTTGCTCGTGCATGCTTGCTCGTGCATGCTTGCTCGTGCATGCTTGCTCGTGCATGCTTGCTCGTGCATGCTTGCTCGTGCATGCTTGCTCGTGCATGCTTGCTCGTGCATGCTTGCTCGTGCATGCTTGGCTCGTGCATGCTTGCTCGTGCATGCTTGCTCGTGCATGCTTGCTCGTGCATGCTTGCTCGTGCATGCTTGCTCGTGCATGCTTGCTCGTGCATGCTTGCTCGTGCATGCTTGCTCGTGCATGCTTGCTCGTGCATGCTTGCTCGTGCATGCTTGCTCGTGCATGCTTGCTCGGCATGCTTGCTCGTGTCATGCTTGCTCGTGCATGCTTGCTCGTGCATGCTTGCTCGTGCATGCTTGCTCGTGCATGCTTGCTCGTGCATGCTTGCTCGTGCATGCTTGCTCGTGCATGCTTGCTCGTGCATGCTTGCTCGTGCATGCTTGCTCGTGCATGCTTGCTCGTGCATGCTTGCTCGTGCATGCTTGCTCGTGCATGCTTGCTCGTGCATGCTTGCTCGTGCATGCTTGCTCGTGCATGCTTGCTCGTGCATGCTTGCTCGTGCATGCTTGCTCGTGCATGCTTGCTCGTGCATGCTTGCTCGTGCATGCTTGCTCGTGCATGCTTGCTCGTGCATGCTTGCTCGTGCATGCTTGCTCGTGCATGCTTGCTCGTGCATGCTTGCTCGTGCATGCTTGCTCGTGCATGCTTGCTCGTGCATGCTTGCTCGTGCATGCTTGCATGCTTGCTCGTGCATGCTTGCTCGTGCATGCTTGCTCGTGCATGCTTGCTCGTGCATGCTTGCTCGTGCATGCTTGCTCGTGCATGCTTGCTCGTGCATGCTTGCTCGTGCATGCTTGCTCGTGCATGCTTGCTCGTGCATGCTTGCTCGTGCATGCTTGCTCGTGCATGCTTGCTCGTGCATGCTTGCTCGTGCATGCTTGCTCGTGCATGCGTGCTCGTGCATGCTTGCTCGTGGCATGCTTGCTCGTGCATGCTTGCTCGTGCATGCTTGCTCGTGCATGCTTGCTCGTGCATGCTTGCTCGTGCATGCTTGCTCGTGCATGCTTGCTCGTGGAATGCTTGCTCGTGCATTGCTTGCTCGTGCATGCTTGCTCGTGCATGCTTGCTCGTGCATGCGTTGCTCGTGCATGTTGCTCGTGCATGCTTGCTCGTGCATGCTTGCTCGTGCAATGCTTGCTCGTGCATGCTTGCTCGTGCATGCTTGCTCGTGCCTGCTTGCTCGTGCATGCTTGCTCGTGCATGCTTGCTCGTGCATGCTTGCTCGTGCATGCTTGCTCGTGCATGCTTGCTCGTGCATGCTGCTCGTGCATGCTTGCTCTTGCATGCTCGCTCGTGCATGCTCGCTCGTGCATGCTTGCTCGTGCATGCTTGCTCGTGCATGCTTGCTCGTGCATGCTTGCTCGTGCATGCTTGCTCGTGCATGCTTGCTCGTGCATGCTTGCTCGTGCTGCTTGCTCGTGCATGCTTGCCGTGCATGCTTGCTCGTGCATGCTTGCTCGTGCATGCTTTGCTCGTGCATGCTTGCTCGTGCATGCTTGCTCGTGCATGCTTGCTCGTGCATGCTTGCTCGTGCATGCTTGCTCGTGCATGCTTGCTCGTGCATGCTTGCTCGTGCATGCTTGCTCGTGCATGCTTGCTCGTGCATGCTTGCTCGTGCATGCTTGCTCGTGCATGCTTGCTCGTGCATGCTTGCTCGTGCATGCTTGCTCGTGCATGCTTGCTCGTGCATGCTTGCTCGTGCATGCTTGCTCGTGCATGCTTGCTCGTGCATGCTTGCTCGTGCATGCTTGCTCGTGCATGCTTGCTCGTGCATGCTTGCTCGTGCATGCTTGCTCGTGCATGCTTGCTCGTGCATGCTTGCTCGTGCATGCTTGCTCGTGCATGCTTGCTCGTGCATGCTTGCTCGTGCATGCTTGCTCGTGCATGCTTGCTCGTGCATGCTTGCTCGTGCATGCTTGCTCGTGCATGCTTGCTCGTGCATGCTTGCTCGTGCATGCTTGCTCGTGCATGCTTGCTCGTGCATGCTTGCTCGTGCATGCTTGCTCGTGCATGCTTGCTCGTGCATGCTGCTCGTGCATGCTTGCTCGTGCATGCTTGCTCGTGCATGCTTGCTCGTGCATGCTTGCTCGTGCATGCTTGCTCGTGCATGCTTGCTCGTGCATGCTTGCTCGTGCATGCTTGCTCGTGCATGCTTGCTCGTGCATGCTTGCTCGTGCATGCTGCTCGTGCATGCTTGCTCGTGCATGCTTGCTCGTGCATGCTCGCTCGTGCATGCTTGCTCGTGCATGCTTGCTCGTGCATGCTTGCTCGTGCATGCTTGCTCGTGCATGCTTGCTCGTGCATGCTTGCTCGTGCATGCTTGCTCGTGCATGCTTGCTCGTGCATGCTCGCTCGTGCATGCTTGCTCGTGCATGCTTGCTCGTG